CCAAAAAATAAAATACTTAGGAATAAATCTAACCAGAGACGTAAAAGATCTATACAGAGAAAACTACAAGACACTACTGCAAGACACTAAAAGAGACCTTCATAAGTGGAAAAACATACCTTGCTCACAAATAGGTAGATTCAACATAGTGAAAATGTCAATTCTACCCAAAGCAATCTACAGATACAATGCAATCCTGATCCAAATTCCACCAGCATTTTTTAATGAGATGGAGAAACAAATCACAAACTAAATATGGAAAGGGAAGAGGCCCAGAATAAATAAAGCATTACTCAGTAAGAAAAAGAACAAAGTGGGAGGACTCACACTACCTGATTTTAGGACCTATTATACTGTTATGGTAGTCAAAAGAGCCTGGTACAGCAACAGATACATAGACCAATGGAACAGAGTTGAGAATGCAGATATAAGCTCATCCACCTATGAGAAGCTAATATTTGACAAAGGCCCAAAGTCCATTAATTTGGGAAAAGACAGTCTCTTTAACAAATGGTGCTGGCATAACTGAATATCCATCTGCAAAAAACTGAAACAAGACCATACCTCACACCATGTACAAAAACTAACTCAAAATGGATCAAAGACTTAAATATAAAATTGAAAACGATAAAGATCATGGAAGAAAAAATAGGGACAACTCTAGGAGCTCCAATACATGGCATAAACAGAATACGAACCATAACAATGCACAAGCACCAGAAGAGAGACTAGACAAATGGGAGCTCCTAAAAAGCAAAAGACTTCACCAAAAGAGTAAAAAGACAACCTACAGACTGAGAAAATATTTTTGGGTATGACAAATCCCATCAGCATCTAATCTCTAAAATCTACAAGATACTTGAAAACCTCAACAACAAAAAGACAAATAACCCAATTAAAAAATGGGCAAATGATATGAACACGCACTTTGCCAAAGAAGATATTCACACGGCTAACAGACACATGAAGAAATGCTTACGATCATTAGCCATTAGAGAAATGCAGATCAAAACTACAATGAGATATCATCTCACCCCAACAAGGCTAGCATTAATCCAAAAAAACACAAAATAATAATGCTGGAGAGGTTGTGGAGAGACTGTAACACTTATACACTGTTGGTGGGAATGTAAAATGGTACAACCACTTTGGAAATCGATTTGATGCTTCCTTAAAAAGCTAGAAATAGAAGTACCATATGATCCAGCTATCCTGCTCCTTGGAATATGTCCTAGAGAAATAAGAGCTGTCACACGAATAGATATATGCACACCCATGTTCATTGCAGCACTGT